GTCTGGCAAACAATGCTTACTACTTTTTAAAGAGCACACGTTTATAACAAATTTACACATACAGTAAAAACTAAAGAAAAAGAATCGGAGGATGTTGTAGAGTCTGTGTGCTGTCTGTTTATGCCATTTGTCTGCTGTTACTGTCATTCTCTACAGTATGTTGTTCTTTGTTGTCACCGTCTGTCTGTTGGGGTTTTCCTACCTCTACCATACTCCTCCCTGTCTCTGCTTGGCCTACTGTAGCATCCTTCCTCACAGCACTGGTGTTGAAAGACCAGGGGTCTCTCTCTGGCTGTACTAATTCCAGCAACATCCTTGTTAATGAACACAGTATAGGACTTAAACATTGCAGCTAAATATTTTCTCACTGACTGCTCTCAACATTGGAATACACATGAATACAAACAAGTAATAATAGCAAAAAAAGGGAATAGAATATATAGCAAAAACTATAAATAAACAGAATCATTTTTGATATACAATTATTTGTGAATTAAAGTATGCTGAAGGGTTGCTAGTATGTGCTGCATGTGCATTTGTGCGAGAATGTGAGTCTCTCTCTCTCTGTGTGTGTGAGACACAGGCACAGCTTCCTCCTATCCTAAGAGTTAATTAATAGTTAATTAGATCCACATTATTAAGAAACTGGCACACACAGGAGCTAACTGGCAGAAGTAGTGTGAAGATGACTTGTGCTAGCTGTATTTTCTGTTTTCTTCTTACCTATGTGGCACTAACTGTCCTCCGCTACAGCAGCCCAATTTAAACCTTTTGAAAAGAGTTCGGTTAATTTTACGCATTTAGCAGCGTCGGACTTGAGCCCTGTTTTTCCTTTCTCAAAGTTTTTCTGCACCGCCATTCCTTTTTTACGGTCCATTATCTTGCTTTTACTGAAAATTAGCTCGTGTTGCAATCTCTCTGATGAGTGCTTGATTTTGACTGAACGGTTCGGTCGGCCCATCTCGGGTCCAGGAGGCCGGCCGTTGCTGACTGGGCCAAATGCTTAACATTTATTTATTATTAACATTATTATTATTATAACCATAGAGAAATTGTGCAAGCGATAAAAACCTGTCCTATGCGCTGTTGGCCCATAAAAACATCTGACGGCCCACATTAAGCAAAATGGTCCGGCCCCTCTGGCATTTGCCAGAATTGCCAGATGGCCAATCCACCCCTGGTTAAAGTCAAATAATAAACGACAGTTATCTATGATTTGAATAACTTGATGATCATATAAACATTTTAAGAAACAAATTCAAAGAACCAGCCTGATTTGTTGCTTATAAATCAAGTTATCTAAAAAAAAAAACATGAGTTACATTGAAATAGCGAGAATCAAACATATTTTCATTTATTTTCATCCAGCAAACCTTGCCTGGTCAACATGATCCTAATAAACTGTTAATGATTTATACTTTTTCTAGTCCTGGCAATGTTTATCTAAAGCAAGTGCATGCTTACTAAATTAATTTAGAGAGATCTTATATTGACTTATGCATAAGGATGTGATACAATGTGTTTGTCCTAAATGAATTTATTTAACAAAAAACAGTAGCAATGTAATTCATACCATACTTGGCATTTTCTGATTTAAAATGAATATTAATATTTTTGGGGTGCATAAAGACAGGGTGATGCAAATTTACTGATATCATAATGAAGGAAAAATTCCTTAAATAAAATAATGAAAAGCTTCCACATTCGATTACCAATTTACTAATTGCTTTTAAATTCAGCTCATCAGTTTTAAAATGTAAAAAAAAAAATCTAAATGTGAATGCAAAGGACAGCGACAGACAATAAAACTTTAACATTACTCATATTTAACACATTATAAGATACAGCTAAATATCACATTATAAAACACTAATCTCTAATAAAATATTATTTGTTTTTGATAAATGCTAAAGAAAATATATCACTTAAATTGCATCTAGCAGTACTGAACTATATAAGTGTTAATCTGCACTTATCAGAAGCTATTTCTATCTAATATAATGCGAAGGTTTAGTGACCTAACCTAAATCCCAAAACTAAACTTTAGGGTTATATTATTTAACATCACTGAATGTACTGAAGATCCTAATGCATTTGGTTCAGTGATTTTAGTGTTTATGCAATATTTATTTCTTATAGACATACTTAGCATTATCCATTCTAATAATACTATACAGCCTGGAAGGCATTAAATAACAAATGCACCAGAGTGCTATTCATTGGCATGAACATGGAGTCCGATTAAACATTGACAACAAAATCAATTTTGCTTTGAAAGTTCAGTATTGAGCAAGTTATGTTCCGCGGACCAAATGTAACGCTGTACATTTGTGTGAGTGTGTCAGAGACAGGACCGAAACATCTCAACAAAATAATTCAGATAGAACAAAGACCGGCTACCTGAGATTTCACTACTTTCCACTGAAGGTTTCATCACTTACAACAGTAAGTAAAAAATAATCAACAATTATTTACTGCAATGCAACTTGATGACTTGTAAATATGAATATCTTATAGGTCTACTGATGCCTTTTGATTTTGCTACTAGAATATAGTGTGCATCTCTATTTTTATAGCCTAAAGGCCTATATTTTATTTGATAAATTCACTTAAGGTCTGAAATCCCAAATTGAATAGAAAATCAATTTTAGAAACATATATTAAGACAAAGATGTCTTCTGAACTGTGATTTATCACTGTAAAAAAATATCTAAGCATCTCTAAAACAAGCTAAATTAACTTGAATTTAAAAAAGAGCATAAAGACTTATGTTTTCAGAAAATATATTGAATTATGTTTTTTTATTGTTTTAAATCTAAATCTACTCTTAATTCAAGATATATTCTTTGAAAACAAAGCTTAATGTATACATTTTTGTTAGAGTTATCTTATAAAAAATATCTTAAAATGTTTTACTGGAAAAGTTACAACACAAATGTGGAATGTTTTAATGGAAATTAATTCTCCCATCAAAAATGCATAAACTTTAATCATAATTTTTTTTAAACTCTTCACAGTTGATCGAAATGGTTCAGATCACAAAGACAATAGTCTTTCTCTGCATGCTGATTGGATGGTCACAGGCTTTTCCACAACATGGTGATGTTGTCAAAGTCAAATAATAAATGACAGTTATCTATTGTAAGGTCCGCGCACCTGGTCCAAGGAAGGTATCCAGTGGC